CAACAATTCAATCCCCCCAGCCTCTCTGCAGGAGAAAGCTCCGGTTGTCTGCTCTTATAAAGATGGACAGCCTCCGAAACCTTGTCCAGGGTTGCTATGGGTCAGTATTGGTGGAGTGGCAGTGGGTTTTTGGTTTGGTCAGTCCCTGGTTTCTACTTTAGGACTTCTAAATTTGTGCTTTTTAAATCTCCCACTTTCAAGGCAGAATGAATGAAAACGTTGCTTTCATTCCTACTTGTAAAGCAACTTTCTGTGATGGCCGTGAGTCTGTTAGTAACTTTGTCACAACTCTACCTTTGTGTGCATAATCTTAGAATGATTTACAGAAAACAAATACCTGGCCCTCCAGGTATTTGGAATGAATGGTTCTACAAATGTTTTGGGGGAAGTTGGAAAGGGTGTTGAAACATTTATGGATTCTTCCATGAAAGTTAACACTGAGAAAGCAAGCATTTTGCTCCCTTTCACAGAAGAAAGGGTCACACTTTGATCTGGATATAGTATTTATTTACCCAGAATTTAACCTGTTTCTGTGGCTACCCTGAAAACAGAGTTCAACTGGTCAAGCAGGAAATAGAGTAAAGGCATCTATGTGTGATCATCCTCATTATAGCCAACATAAATAAAAATTTGTATCAAGTTTAATGTAAAATAAATGTTCAACCTTTTCTTAGTTAATTTACTGAAAATATGGAGGTGGGTAGTGCAATCCAAAAAACCCTAAACTCACTACAAACGACTTGATTTCAACCCATAGCGACCATAGAGGTCAGACTAAAACTACCCTTTGGGTTTATCAGACTTGAAATCTTTACAGGAGTAGACACCTTTATCTGTCTCCCATGAAGCAGCTGGTGGGTTCATACTGCTGACCTTGTGATTGGCAGCTAAATGCAATACCCACTATACTACCAGGGCTCCAATAGTGCTATTAGAGTCCCTAGTTCTATCTTGAGACTACATTTTTATCACATATATAAACTGAATTATGTTTCTATGTCACTATAATCTTCAGACTAATGTGATAAGCCTATTTCAAATTTAAGGAACCCAGTAGCATAACAATTGCCCTAAAGGGTAGAATAGAATTAACCTTTTGAGTTTCTGAAATTGTAAATCTTTACAGGAGCTAAAAGCCTCACCTTTCTCCTGCGGACTGGCTGGTGGGTTTGAATTGCTAACCTTGGAGTTAGCAGCCTAATTCATAACCCACTACGCCACCAGGGCTCCTAATGGTGCTATCACTTCTAAATACTTTAGCACGTATCTCCTTAGAACAGAGATATTTGCCTATAAAACCACAATACCACTCTCATACTCAAGAAATCTAATGTTTACAAATATTATCATCTAATATATTGCCCAAATTTAAATTTCCCTAATTGTAATTATTTTCTTAAAATTTCTTGGTCACAGGATCCAACCAAGGATCGCACAATTTATTTAGGAGCCTTGTGTCTTTTCATTTAGAACACTTCTCCCCCTCCTGTTTTTACCCTTTCTTTTGTGTTGCATGACGTGAATTTTTTTTTTTTTCAAATCAGACGTGAACATTTTTTGAAGAGTTCGGGGCTGTGGCCTTGTAACATGTCCTACCATCTAGATTTGTCAGATTTTTTCTTAAGGCATGTAAACTTTTTTAGGAGAAAGCAATTACATGAGCCTATGGTATGTATTTCTGTTGTTTTTCGATGTAAATACTGTTTCCCCATTTCTGATATGCTCACAGAGGCTCTCTCCTTATGCATGCGCTTCCCTCCTGACAGATGAACTGCTTACCTTGTTAGAGACAGTTCTGAGTCTCTTCATCTCGAAGTCACCTTTGAATATTCAGTTTTTCTTTTAGCATTTATATAGATTATATATGTGTGCTGTTATGTTATTTCTATTTGTTCCTACATCTTTAACTTTTCCCCTAATGAAAACCACTTGAAGGAAGGTCAAAATTGCCTCTGTGACTTCCCAAGAATCTAGCACATGGTCATTCACATGGTAGTTGTATTAGTCTGGGTACTTTGGAGAAACAAATCCACAGCAACTCATGTATAAGAGAGAGTTTTATGCAACGAAAATGTGCATCACGAAAACATCCCAACCCAATGCTGCCCAAGCCCACAAGTCCAACATTAACCCATACCCAACACCAGTCCACAAAGTCCTTCACCTCACAAAACAGAGGCAATAATGCTGACTGCAGGAGGAAAGCTGAGTCAGTGAATGTGTAAGCATCTCAGCACTGGCAGGGGTCTCCACACGGCTGCTCCAGCACCCAGGGCTGCATCGGGATAGATCCTTGCGGCTTCTCCTTGGGAATGTCTTGTAGGAAATCCATCTTGCAAGCTGAAGCAGGGAACTGCTAAGGCAGCTGCACCCGATGCAACCATCACAAAACAAGAGACCCGAGAACTAGAAAGGCGAGGCTTCACCACCCATTTATCCCTCCGCCTTTCAACCAGCACCACATGTGATTATCGGCCAGGCTGGCACAATTAACTAACTCAGTAATAAATAAATTTATATATTTACTGAATGATAAACAGATGGACGAATGAAGATGGTCTGGTTTTCTGAGATGTAGCAAATGAGTTAGGGACTCATATAATTTATTCCTAAGTGTACTTTCTACATCCCAAATAGTCTATCTAAATTTTAAAACGCTAGACATTTTAAAATCCACTGCCATTGCGTCTATTCTGACTGATAGCGACCCTATAGGGCAGAGTAGAATTGCCCCTGTGGGGTTACACTTTTATAGCCCCTGAGACTATGAACTTTTACTGGCGTAGAAAGTCTCATCACTCTCCAAGGGAGCTATTGGTGGATTCAAACTACTGACCTTGCCATTAGCAGCCCACTATGCCATCAGAACCCTTCAATCTATCACAAGTGGGTGGCTGTATAGAACTGAAGTTTACTTTCTCATAATTCAGGGAATTGGTTGTAGAGGAAGGCTCTCCCTCTGTTGGCTCTGAGCGAAGATCCTTCCCTCTGTCAGCTCTTCTATCCCAACTCACCTTAGTTCCCTGGTGCTCATCACATGACATCTGTCTTTCTCTGTGCTTGTCTCTGTGTCTGCGACACTCTATCACTTAGACTATCACTTAGACGTGATGAGGTTTAGGGCACACCCTACACCAGTGTGGCCTCATGAATACACCAACAACCATCTTATTCCCAAATGGGATTACGTACACAAGTTAGATTACATTCTTTGTTGTTGTTGTTAGGTGACATCAATTCCCTTCTGACTCGTAGCAACCCTATGTAGAACAGAGCGAAACACTGCCCAGTCCTTCACCATCATCACAATGGTTCTTATGTTTGAGCCCATTGTTGCAGCTACTGTGTCAACCCATCTTGTTGAAGGTCTTCCTCTCTTTCTGTGCCCTGCTCTTTTACCAAGCATGATGTCCCTCTCTGGCACTGGTCTTTTCAGACAACATGCCCAAAGCATATGCTCCAAGGAGGATTCTGTCTGCACTTCTTCCAAGACAGATTTATATGTTCCTTCCGCAAGCCATGGTACTTGCAACATTAAGGAACCCAATGCACCTCATAGAAGTTGTTATCTATAGAGCCCTCTATGTGCTGGAAACTGACTGGGAACACTGAGTATACGAGCACAGTGTGCTACGAAATGGTGAGTCAGGCCTTATGTTGTGGGATTCTCCTCCTGACAAGACAGGGAGATCTTTTATTGGAAACCATTGTTTCTTTAGAAACTTCTTTTTTTTTGGGGGCGGGGGGGACCTGGGAGTAAACACCCAGCAGAGATGAGTGTATATTTTCTGTCCTTACTCAGTCCCTCATCCACTCTCGCCCCTGCCATCCTTGGTCCCTGAGCATCAGCACTCCAAGCCTCAGGTCACCCTGCGACATCACGTACCACATCTCTTGGTTTCCAGAATGTTGTTGAAATGGGTCACTCTCTGGTGGTCTCCTTGCTGTTATTGTTGTTAAAGGGGTATGTGCTTTTGCCGTTTTGTCTGACGTTATTGTCGTTTTGCTAGTCTTGGGAAGGGGAGGGGCGGGGATGAGTACAGTGTTCAGTTTGCCATCTCTAAATAGTCTGTTGACTTATTTTTAATTAAAAGATCACTTTATTGGGGGTTCTTAACAGCTCTTATAACAATGCATACATCAATTGTATCAAACATATTTGTACATATGCTGCCATCATATGTGACCCCTTAATAAATTATAAATTATTATTTTCATATCTTACACCAGCCACTGTTTCCCTTCCCCCAGTTTCTGTTATGTTTCCCCCTGGAGGTGTGTGTGTGTGTGTGTGTGTGTGTATCATTATGATTGATTCCCCCCACTTTCTCCCTTTGTTTCTGGTGTTGCCACTCCCACTTTAAAATTGTCTGTGTTAGAGACTTCCCCATGGTAAGTGTGGTCTTGTGACCAGTGTACATTTTCTGCCTAGGAGACGGAGGAGATGATTCTTTATGTGATTGTGGGTGTGAGGTTCAGCTGACCTCGGGTAGTTTTGAAGTTCCCCACTGAGTAATGTGGACACGGGGGAAGCACTTTAGATTTTGTGGCCAGCAGGGTGACACAAATTCTCCCTTCCAGACTTCAGAAGGCTGGTTACTTATTTACAACTGGGATAAAACTAAATGGGCGACTAACTGGGGAAATTCTACACACCGCTGGTAAAGCTCACTCTCATTTGCTAATCCGCACTCCTGGGCGTGTGCGGGCTGCGTTTCTCCATTCCCAGTTCCTGGTGGCGAATGGCCCTGCGGGTCCCACTCACTCACAAAGAATCTCCCCTTTGAGCTACTGCAATCTTTGCTGTTACTCACGCCCCAGAGGCCTCAGGATTGGCTGGGCCTGCAATAAAACGCTGCCCATTATCAAGTTGATAAGCGACAACGTAACTGCACGCCAAGATCCTGCTCCCAGAATATAACGTGGGGGCGGTGGCTCTCTTCTTTCCTCCTACCGAGTTCATGTGAGATCTGGGGAAGAAACAGTCTCTGTGCAAAACAGGAAATCTTTCCAGAGGAAAAAAAAAAAAAGTCCTGAAAATGGGTCTACTGAGTTCCAAGAGCTCCAAAGTCCGGCAAGCGCAGGTTCTTCTCCTGGGCCTGGATTCGTCGGGGAAGTCTACTCTCCTTTATACGTTGAAGCTCGCTCGGGGCATCACCACCATCCCGACCGTCGGTTTCAACGTGGAGATGATTGAGCTGGATAGGCATCTTTCACTCACCGTCTGGGACGTCGGTGGACAGAAAGCAATGAGGACCATGTGGGATTGTTACTGCGAGAACATCGACGGGCTCGTCTACGTCGTGGACTGCACGGACCTCGGGCGACTGGAAGACTCTCGGAGAGAGTTTGAGCACATTTTGAAGAACGAGCACATTAAAAATGTGCCTGTTGTCCTGTTAGCCAACAAGCAAGACGTGCCAGGCGCGCTGAGCGCCGAGGACCTCACCAGGATGTTCAAGGTCAAGAAGCTCTGCAGCGACCGCAGCTGGTACGTGCAGCCCTGCTGCGCCGTCAGCGGGGAGGGGCTGGCGGAGGGCTTCAGGAAACTGAGTGGGTTTGTGAAAAGCCACCTGAAGGCCAGAGGAGACTCGCTGGCATTCTTCAAGCAGCACTGACGCTGGGAGAAGGACCGCGCACTGAGAGACACTGATCAATGCGAAAGGGTAATTTTCCTGTTTCACATTCCAAGTGAGGAAAGCAGGTTAATGTGCTTTTTCTTATTGGCAAACTTTCCCCCCAAATGTTATTTTGCTTCAAGTCGGTGTAACCACTCAGAATAATATCTTAAACACTTTTGTTCACAGTCAGGCACTGTAGCAAACTGTGGTGGTGATGATTGAGAAAGGATAAGGTTAGCACTTTGTGCGGAATTATAGAATGTTAGGTGATTCGGACTAATCGTGTTTGGGATCAACTAAATCATTGCTTTTAACGATTTTCTGTAACAATTAGAGCCAAGTGTAAGTCAGCTTTCAGCTGAGAGAGTCGGTTCTTTCAGACTCTCGGGGTGGTGTAAAAAATGAACTTTAAACATGGAACGGAAAAAGTTTGATGCTGGCATTTTATAAATTCCTCCCCTAAATAAAGTTTATCATCGGGATTCCTTCCAGCTCTTTGAAATATATTGCTGGGAACTTTCTACAAAGAGTCTGATCAAGTGAACTCTAGGTTATTACTTAGAGCCTATAGCACCCCTCTGGGAGCACAGCTTAATGTCGTAAATCTTTGTAGACCCTGGTAGCATCATAGGGACTTAGGATAGAGTGTGGGCACAGAGCTCAGTGCTAGGCTACAAGATCTGCTACAGTAGAATTCAATATACTCCTCATTACTTTGAGCCATATATATGTGTGTGCATATATATGTGTATATCTATACACACATATAGTGATACATAGTGATATAGATATTATGATATAGATACATATAGTGATATATATATGGTGATATACACACACATACAATGATATATATTATTCACTAAATTAAATAAGAATCAGGAACAGACTTTTCCCTCAGAGGCCTTATACAGGACAAAACAAGATAAAGCTAATTTGTCAGACTAGGGCACCATATACTATGAGCTGTAACAGGAGAGGCTCTGCTGATATGGAGAACCTGGAAGTGCTTCATGAAAGAGGGAGTGGAGAAGTGCTCCCTGGGAAGTTCCCATTGCTGGGGACTCAAGAGGAACTGGAGATTCTAATGGAATTCCCCTAATTGCCTGAGAACCCACAGAGAGGCCCTGGTCCTCACAGATGGCACCCTTTCCTCTATCCCACCTTCAGACTAGAAGTAGATTTCAAACCTCCACAGCAGTCCTTGGACACCAGGTCTTGAAAGCTGCAGAGGAATGTGCGATCAGGAGGGGTCGAAGGGACCAGGTATCAAGCACCAAAGAACAAAAGGTCATATCATCGTGAATGAGGGGGAGTGCGGGATGGGGACCCAATGCCCATCTGTAGACAACTGGACATCCCTTGCAGGGGGGTACTGGGGAGGAGATGAGTCACTCAGGGTGCTGTGTAGCATTGATGAAACACACAACTTTATTCTAGTTCTTAAATGCTTTTCCCGCCCCCCCACCCACCCCTGACTATCCTGATCCCAATTCTACCTTACAAACCGGGTTAAGACCAGAGGATGCACAGTGGTGCAGATACGAACTGGAAACACAGGGAATCCAGGACAGATGAACCCTCAGGACCAGTGCTGAGAGGCGATACCGGGAGGGTGGAGGGAGGGTGGGGTAGAAAGGGGGAACCGATTACAAAGATCTACATATAACTTCCTCCCTGGGGGATGGACAACAGAAAAGTGGGTGAAGGGAGGCGTCGGGCAGTGTAAGATTTGATAAAATAATAATTTATAAATTATCAAGGATTCATGAGGGAGGGGGGAGGGAGGGGGGAAAAAAAGAAAACGAGGAGCTGATTCCAGGAGCCTAAGCAGAAAGTGCGTGTTTTGAGAATGATGAGGGCAACGAATGTATGCGTGTGCTTTACACAATTGACATATGTAAGGATTGTTATAAGAGCTGTATGAGCCCCAATAAAATGATTTTTTTTTTAAAGTTGCAGAGGAAGGTAAAGGTGAAGTAAACAAGGAAATGAGGGCAGTGGTGGGTCACTGGAAAAATAAACACAAACAGGAAGCAAACAAACAAAACCAACAATGACTGACAAAACAGAACAACAGAATTCTTGCCTTCCCTGTGGGAGATCTGTGTTCATGTGGCTTGAGTGTTATATTGCCAAATAGGTTTCAGAGGAGTTTGCAGACTAAGGCAGACTAAGAAGAAAGGCTGGTGATGTGCTTTTGAAAAATCAACTTAGAAAGCCTTGTGGATGCCGATGGTCCAATCGTGCTGGGCCTGGAGTTGCTGGCCATTCATTCCCCCCATAGTTTTTTTTCTCTTGTCTTATTTGTTCAGCCAAGATCTATGCACCTATATCCGTGCTGGTAGGATTCACATAAGGAAGTTGGTATAGTTTCTACCATCACAGCTACTGGAGTTGAACACCTGAACTGAACAGCTGCTGTGCTAAAGCCTTTTGGTGCATATTTTTCATTTTCACAACTGCTCTAAAAAGAAACATTAGCATTTTAATTTTACATATGGGTACTAAAAGTTAAACAACAGTGTATGTGTGTGTTGCGTGCGCACACACACACTGGTATTTTAACCGAGAATGTTGAGAGTGGAAATTCAAACGAGTGTACCTGGCTGCAAGACTGCTGTCGGTTGTCTTCCACAAAGGCTATTTTCCTCCAGGCTATTCTTACAAGTCACAATTAAGACTACATCCAAGTTGACATGTGTTTTTATAATACAAATATTACTTGAAAAAAATAGAACAGATCAAATGCAAAGAGAGAAGCAGCATGTTGCTGCTGTTGTTATGTGCCATCGAGGTGGCCACGACTCACAGGGACACCACGTGCAACAGAGCAAATCCTGCCTGTATTTGAGCCCGTTGTTGCAACCACTGTGTCAATTCTGTTCCGGGCCAGTGTCACCCGACTTTTCTTCCTCGGAGAAACTAGCAAGTTTCTGCCCAGTGGTTTGTCACCACAACAGAGGACGCCACAC